GAATATATACTTCAAAGAGACATCTGTGTGTTTCCCTTCTTATCACTCTGTAGCCAAACAGTAAAACCTTGTGGTGCCAAGTCAAAACAATCCATGAAAAAAAATGTTCTGTTTTGAATACACAAAGCTCCGAACAACAAAACCTCCCAGCCTCCGAGCGGAAACATTGTTAAAGAGTTTCTTTTTGTATCTTTTTTGTATTTCAAGTTAGAAAAGAGGTCCAATCTTTAAATGAATTAGAAAAATACCCACAGCAATAAAAGAAGAAAACTTTAGTCTATCAACAAGTTCAGCATCTTAGCCACTGAGCCATCGCGTCCATACAAAGGTAATTGAAAGCATAATAAAAGGACTGTCTGTTCTGCTTTGTAATGTGGTGGAAAATTCCCTTTCCTATCCAATTGGTTCCTCCTTTTCCACACATAATCACAATTCTCACACTGTCATTCACAACAAAAAACCCTTCTCAAACTCCAGCTGTTCATCAAGCGTTTTGCAGTTTTCTAGGCTGCACAATTCCAACCGATCACCAGTCGGCAGCCAAGTATAAATAACTCTTTGCTTCCACCTACAGTTTATACATTGAATGCTTAACCAATCAAATGATAGGCAGAGGTCCCCAAAACTTTCAGGCTTTATGGACCGGTGGCAGCAGTGGTGGTGGGGAGGGCATCGTTTTTTGTGCATGCCCTCTGCTTGCGCAAATGGAGTTTTGCACACTTGCCCACCACTTGCACAGCCCAGATCGAGCCTCGTACCAGTACTGGTCAAGCGGATCAGGGGTTGGGAACACCTTTTATAAAGATATTTTTAAAAATAAAAAGTTAACTGATAGGAAAGAAAAAAGATGAGTGCATGCAGTAATCATTGAATGTGCCAGTTGGAGGAGAATTTTCACATACTAGATGGTGATGCAATATCAGCCGAGTGAACTACCAATCATAGCCTTTAAGTGGCATGTATATTAAAGCTGTATGGAAAGCAGCAGCATAGTATGGATCTTTTCAGGACTCATGTAGTAAGCATGTACTTCAATTTAGGTAAAGGTTCCCCTCGCACATATGTGTTAGTCGTTCCCAACTCTAGGGGGCGGTGTTCATCTCCGTTTCAAAGCCGAAGAGCCAGCACTGTGCAAAGACATCTCTGTGGTCATGTGGCCGGCATGACTGAACACCAAAGGGGCACAGAATGCTGTTATCTTCCTACCAAAGGTGGTTCCTATTTTTTATAATTGCATTTTTACGTGCTTTCAAACTGCTAGGTTGGCGGAAGCTGGGACAAATAATGGGAGCTCACTCCAGTACACAGTGCTAGGGATTCGAACTGCCAAACTGATAACATTTCTGATTGACAAGCTCAGCCATTGAGTCACCATGTCCACTTCAATTTAGGCAGTGTTCATCCTTACCAGTCTGAGATGAGAATAGGTCAAAGTAATTGTGTGGAGCCATTTTATGAAAAAATAACATTTTTCCTTTGAATTTCTTCTGAGCTCCAGTGCAGACTTTTGCAGTCTGATTTCCTCCAGAAGTGTTAAGGATTACAACTTTAGAAATTCCCATTCAATGTGTCTGTTGCTGGAAGTCCTGGGACTTGTAGTCCTAAAATATCTGGTTGGAATCGACTTGGGAAAGACTTACCTAACTAGCCACAGATATGCAACAACAACATCCACAT